AGTATGTTAAAGGATCAATGTAAAGGGACCTTTTATAATGTAAAACCTCAGATGATTCTTACAGTGTAGAATTACCGTCTGAATGCAAGTGTTGTATAGCTTTTAAAATTGTACATCTTATCTCTAATTAGTGCTGTACATCTAAATCCTACCGTCTGTTGAGGCCTTAAAATGATCATAAATCATGAACTTTGTTTTGTAGGTAATTTGACCCGATCCACCTGTAGACTTAAGGAAACATGTTTGTACGTGACTGCGGGGGAAAAACAATGTTATGCTTAATTAAAGAGGTGACACTTTCTCTATTTTTATCTGATATCGAGTTGTAAGAGCCGATTTGCAGTTATATGGGTAAGAGTTTGGTATCAACAGACGGTAGGATTTTGAAGTACAACACCAATTAAAACTAAGATCTACAGACAAATCTTCATGTGTGAAGGCTACTATTTCTTGATTTCGGAAACCTTATGTCTAGATGTAAGGGATAGGACATGTTCTATTTTGAAAATCTTGTCGTACGGATTTTTATAGACCTCCCACAATGACAAGTAACAGATAACCAAATTATCTCCTGATAATTGGTGTAATGAATGAAATTCCAGAATAATTAGGGCTAAAAGGTAAACATAGTAGTAAAATGGGGTAAAAATGATGTTGAAAAACTCTTCAGGAGACCCAAAGTTGTGTTATGTTCGAATCCCAAATTATTCCGAAAATGATTATGTCACGGTATTGAATTGTTCTCTAATTAGGGGATGGGAGGTAGTTTGTAGGCGGCCAGATAGCTTAGTCATCAGAGCCGCAGTACGGTATTCTGAGGGTCCCAGGTTTGAGTCTCGGTCAGGCTTCACATTAAAAATATATATATATATATATTTTAAATGAAGGTGTTTCAATCATTACTCATGGCGAAAAAGTATTTAGTGAGTAAAAGTATTGAAAGGATCAATGTAAAGGGGTCCTTTTTAGGGGAAACCTCAGATGATTCTTACAGTGTAGAATTACCGTCTGAATGCAAGTGTTGTATAGCTTTGAAAATTGTCCATCTTATCTCTAATTAGTGCTGTACAACTAAATCCTACCGTCTGTTGAGGCCTTAAGACTCCCTACGGTCGTCTTAATACAAACTCTTACCCATACATAACACACTATTAATATTATCAAACTCTTATTACTTTTCTACAAAAATATTTCTTAGCACTGTATCGATGAAGGGAGTCACGTGACCTGAAGAAGGTAAACATTCCCAGTGCCCAGCGTTTATCTACATTTAAATTTGCTACACATTTTAAGCAGTCAATAAAGTAGGTGATTTACTGATAAATAATTTTATGCATGAATTCTTATGAAAAGAACAGGCACTACAAAAATTAATTATTAAAAAAAAATATAAACTTAAACTTTAAAAATAATTATTAGTACAGTTTTACACATCAGAGTAATTGCTTTTCAGCTGAAGCTAAAATTAGACAATTTTGTTACTTTATTAAAAGAGATTATTTTATAATAATAAGACAAATTCTGTCAATACCCACTACATAATAGCCTAACGTTTTTTTTGTTGGATGTACTGTAAAGTTAAAAATAAACAATTTAATATGGTTACTTTTAAATAAGACCATTTTTTCTTTGGAAAGAATCTGGTGATCATCACCTATACAAAGTTATTAACATTATCAAGATTTGTTAAGTGCATTTCCTAGTAAAATATTTTATTGACTAAGACGTAGACAGGAAACTTGCAGCATCTGCAATATCTGTCAGTGTTTTCCTGGACGACATTGTCTAAGGGGAAATCTATATAAATCATTATAAAAGTAATGAGACTCAAACAGCATCATCTGCTTGAGGGGATAGAGTACACGCCGAGATTCAAGTTGACTGCAGTAGTGCTATATTTGTTTTAACAGAAACTTTTCTAGAAACCCTAAACTTAATCTGAAATAGTTTAACATTTGGTTTTCAAATAAGTATTGTTCTTTCTTTTCATCAGTCCTTGAACTACTTGTTCAAAAATACATGTATATATCATACTTTTGATGACATAAATGTTTTACTTACACTTATGAAATTGAAATATGGATTAATTAATCAACAAATTGTTGGCCTAGGTATTTAAAAGTTTACTATCGACCCCTACTCTAATGTTTAAACGAAAACCAATTTCATTTATCTCAAACTTATTTCTATGAGAAAATTACCTCATAAGACTTTTTCTCAAGAATATGACTAGCAATATCTGGAAGCTATGTTGATAAACAAAAGTAAAAACTTAAAAAGTAATGCCAGCTTCCCTTGTCAGAAAGTTTCAAACTTATTCTTTTATAAGTACGATGTACATGTACTTCGAAACAGGTTTTTGTGTCGTTTCAGATAAAGCTGGCTCTCTTCTGTCTTACCATAATCATTATTTTCTAAGGTATAACACATCAAGTTTATATACCTGTACACATACTGTGTAGGTCTTTAACCATCTGGGCATTTCATTTTTATTTGTTTGGGTCGTCAGACCAAACAAATAATGGTAGCGAAATTTCAGAGCCTAATGCTGTTAATTGCAAATGCCTAAAGTAGTCCACTTTTTTGAAGCGGTTACTTCCCTTTATATTTACACTAACGCCGAAAAATTCAGGGGAGATCAATGCGTAAAGATTGTCAAATGACAGGCGCATTAATTTTCAAGCAAATTAGTTCCCGAATGGTCGAATATTTCTAATATTGTTTCATTCTTTATAGATATACATGCTTATAGTAAGCTGCATGATTATTTACATCTGTGTTAAACAACAGGTTTAGCGTCGAAATAATAAGAGTTACAAACCCTAATTTAGAGAAATATATTTTCTTCGGGCCATTAACATATAACTTCACCGTGGCCGAGGGGTTTGCACGCTTGCTTATGAATTGAGAGGTCTGGAGTTCAAATCCCAGTTGAGGCAACTCATTTTTTTAAAAAAAATTTAAGTCAAATAAACATTGAATTGACTATCAGTGTTGCAATTAATCTTATAGCCAATTTACTACAGTAAAAACAATGGAAACAGCATTGGCGGCACTATACAAAAACAAATTGGTTTATAATCTCACAACCTTCACCTTTTTGACGTTCTGAGACCCAAACAAATTCAGCGCCTTCTGTGCTTTGATTATATTATAGAAGTTATCATTAAACTTGTTTTCTACATGCTACTATATGTGTTGCCATATCTTGTCATATTTTTATGTAAGATGCACGATCAACTTTGTTAATGTGATACAGTGAATGTTGACAGATCTTTTTGTGGAAAAATACCTTAACAGGAATTTTCCAAGATTGTTTCTTGAGAAACATTCAGTATATTTTTCCTACATGCATGGCACCATAGCCATGATTTTCCTACAGTTGCCCTTCTTCACTTCACATTTTAAATTAACAAGCAAATGCTTCATGTACATTTGTAGAAACAAATGTAACCTTAAGAGTAAAAAGATAAAGCCTTTATCACAAATTGTAGTATTTACAACAGCAGCCGTGTGTATGTTTACCCTCTATAGTCACGTGACGGGCTTGTCGATACAGTGTTAAAGAAAATGCTTTTGGGCAGTTTCCAATTACCTAGAATTTTATTATATATGTTGAACTTTAAAAAAAATAAGTTTGAACAATTTCTATATGTTGTTACGGTTTTGTTCCGATACTGATACAGCAATGACATAGCGATAAAATGAATGCACACATTAAAGATCGCCAACATAGAAACATTTCAAATGTTACAAGCCTTAGAATCTATTATGTTTAGGAATTCATTTGCAGGTAAATAGGATAAATTTGGAAAATAATTAAGCATAAAAACGGCACTATGTTTCCTTAAAAATAACAATCAACATGGTTAAAACATTTCTTAAATCAGATTATTGTACATGTACGAGTATGTCCATTTCTCTTAGTTTGCTTCACATCATGACAACCAATTTTTTAATACAATAAATTTTGTTTTTGTGAAAGAAGAACTATTATTCTTGTAATACAAAATTAGTGAGTTAAATTCAGTTGTTTTGCAGATCAACAAATATTTCAGGAAAAGTGAGACATCATCTACAAACGTTAGAAATTATTTGTATTTTATCAATAAATAACACGTACGTTGATTTAAGAAAATTTTACAATAAAACCAGTCTTTACATATTATTATTTGAATCACAAACAAAAAACTAGTACTTAGCACAGGCAACAGTGTTCACACATTCCATGCTACAAATTATCCATTATACAAATACAGTGTGTTGCTACATTCAATAAAGTAATTTTCAACAGTGTATTTTTTGTTTTTGTTTATTGTTTTCTTTTCATATTTATTGCTCAAAAGGGAGCTCTCATTTCCAGAATTTGTTTGTAAAAATGATCAAAGCAATTATATTGTAAGCCTAGATAAAATCATGAGAGTTGGATGTTATAACGTAGCATGTTGATTAGATTTTTATATCCCGTATGGCTTCACCATTATTTAATTATTTAAGGCATTAGGTTCCTACTCATACTACAAGGTTTGCGTAGAATTCTTAAAAAATCCCTTGGTAATTGGATTTCAGAACAAATCACTATACATGTATGTATCTTGTCTAACATACTTGACCTCTAACAAGTATCAAATGAAAGTTACTAACGTACGTGTCTACAATATAAAGCCTCAATAAAAGTTAATTCTAAACTATTTCATCAGTAGATCAGAGTAGATATTCAAATTGTGTATTGTAATCTGATTTTATCATTATTTTTGCAATCGTAATATGTTGATGGTTCGATTTCCCATGGCTATACATGTAATGCCGTGGTTTTTCTTTTGGTTTAAATAGTTAAACATATTTATTCCATATATTTATTATGCATGATGAACAAAATTACCCAAAACATTTTGGGATTAGGCAGAAAGCTATGAAAGCTTATGATTATCCTTCCCCCAGTTATAACAGTTTACAAAAACATTAATCATGGCATTATCATTTAAAACGTTCGTTCAGTTAAAAATATATTAAAGGCATTTACAGAGAAATGAGTTATTTTGCAATTAACATAAATTAGTGCGTTGCTACAATAAATGGCTAAATTTACCGAAGTAATTGCAATAATCGTCATTTGCATGAGCTACGCGATGCTTACTTTGAATTTTCTAAACATATGATGTAGATATTACATGTTGCGATACCTGCCGTTGTTGCGGTTATCATTGCCTATATGTAACGCTCCCTTGAACATTTCTGTTGCTGTGGCAGCCGAGTATCGCCGTGTAGGCAGCTTTGAACTTTGTCGATGTTAAACTATAAATAATAGGATTTCCCGTACTGTTCATATACATCAGGATTCGGACCCAACAAACGAGATTAAGATATGCCTCCAGGCCAAGCTTTATTAGATCCGTCTTCGGTGCAAAGACTCGCCACAGAGAAAATACTCGTATCGAAAAACAACACGATTATTAATATTAACATTTGAATCACCTGTTTCCTTGATTTTATTGTTTTCACAGCTGTCTGATCATTGTGTGCTAAAGAATGTAACTGGTCCGACATTAGTTTTCTGATTATACATGTGTAAAGAGTAATCAAAACAAACAACACACAAAGAACACACAAAATATGGTTATTGTGTAACCGTATTGCCAAGTTTTGTTAACCTTTGTCCGACAAACTTTGATTTGAGATCCGTCATAAAACAAAGCATCTTCATATTGGGTCATGCCCAACAGTGGTAAAGATAAAACTATTCCTACCAGCCAGATAAATGCAATGACCTTGACCGTAGCACAAATTGTCACTGATTTTATTCGGTTCTTTAAAGGGTGGCATAAAGCTTGATAACGTTCAAAGGTTACAGCCAACATCGTCAGTACCGAGACATGTACTACTCCGTTCTCCATCATTGGAACCAATGTAGCTGAAGTTATATAAAAATGATTTAAAAAGATGTTTATTTTTTTAGACATTAATTTGTAATGGTGCAATATTGTTTTGTCGTATTTTTTATAATAAAACCTCAAAAACTTCCAAAACTGGCAAAGATGAAAACATGCTGCAGTCTGTTCTGATTAAACCAGTGATATAGACACGCTACCATTCTTTAAACATTATATCTCAACATGTAAATATAACATGTTTTTTTATTTAGAATTTCAAAATTATCTCTAGCTAGGTTCATATGGCAGTTATCAACAATCGGCGAATGGCTCACAAGTAAAATAAAGTGTGTGTCCAAAACGAGAAAACATTGGCCGGAACTAAATAAATTCAATTTCGAGAGGGGATTAGGGGTTATGAAGCCTAAATATCGCAGATAAGCTGTCAAAAGACAAATTTATGAAGTAGGTCACATATCCGAAGACTGATTAACTTTCTTCATGTAGGTATACTTGAATCACCCAACAATAAGCGGGTAAAATAAATGAAACTGAAAATACCAAAGACACAAATAGAATTTTGTCTTAGTTTTCATTTAGGTATGTAAGTAACCGAATACTGTTACATAGATTTAAACTTTGCATAATCTTATGATAACAGAAATAGTTTTAGTGAAAAATGACTGGCGGTCGCTCATTTCTTTTAAATATCTACTCTTGAAATTGAGTTGAAAAAGTTGAAATACATTCTATGAAACGCCCGCGAAAGATCTTCGATCAAGGATCAGAAAGAAAAAAGAATATTTTCGTAGCTTTCATGACTTACAGAGACAAAAATAAAGAGTGATATTCATAGGTGACACACGAACTCTAAGAGTATATATGTACGTAAACATTTCTTTTCTAATTCAAAGAAGGATTGTGTAGAATTAGTGTCATTTAGTTTAAACAAATTTATATTCCGAATATATACATACATTCCAAAAAAACTCAAAATGTTGTAAAACTCTTTTCTTTATTATTTATTTACACCACATTTGGCTTAGACTTTATCAAAAATAAATTTCTAATTACCTCCCTTTATTTACATGAAATATAAATTCGGTAATATCTGTACAAATAATGCTTTTTGGAACTTACAAATTGATAAATATTCATTTCAGCATCATATTTATGATATAAAATTATAAAAAAATGAGTTACAGGATCTTTAAGTTTCCTGTCAACACAAATGAAATATTTTGGCGTAGATTGCTTTTCATGCGACGTTTACACATAATTTGAAGACATTAAAAGCCTCGGGGAAATAAATATTTATGGGTAATTTGTTCCACTTACGGATGACAAAAATAAATAAAACTTAGATATAGCGTAGTTTTAGTGGATATTTAGCTTGCCTTAAAGATAGAGCTCAATATGGAAATGCATTTCCTTATACGACGTCTGCATTTTCGTATCATTTATAAGAATTCATCGTAAAAACACTGTAAAGATTATTTCAAGAAAATTGATAATGTAATGATTTCTTTTTTATTTAGTTTTCACAAGATTTTAACAAGTTTACTTGTAACTGTCAGTTGTTATACAAAAACAAACCCATTTGGTTATGATCATTTACCCAAGATATAATTCGGATAAACTTTAGAAGAGTTTGAAGATTTCGTTTTCTTGAGAAGCAATTCTGACTATGATATATTTTTAAGAAGAAATAGATTTTTTGACGAAGAAAGACAGGCACAATGAGTGAGTCAATGCGTTAGATAGTATGACTATTGTATTATTGTTTCTCAATCTGATTATATACCTGACTATTAATGTTTGGCAGCAATTTGTAAGTTTTTCTAAATAATAGAGACTTTTATCACTACCATTAAACATTTTGGACAATATCATTAATACAAATTAGTAATAGCAGAGGGCCAAGGATCGAGCAATGTGTTACAACAACTGAAATATGCGAGATTTTGAATTTGAAACAAGAAAATGACGTCTATAGCTTTAGTAGTCCTGAAAACAAACCGAAAAGCTTTTAGATACTCCATTATATTTTAATTTAAGAAGTATTCAAATGTGTCAGACTTAATTGAACGCCTGTCTTATGTCAAAATATATTACATGAACTTCAAAGTGGTCATCAAGTGCTTTTCAGAGAGTGTTATAGATATATAAAAGCCGGTATACAATTGAATCTCCAGAGACGAAGCCAGACTGCACATGGATAATGAGTCTATTCATGTTTAAGAGATAAGAAAGATACGTATAAGATTAATATTTCAAAGACTCTTTTTCATAAGTCTCATTTAATGTTGATACAAATGATATCAGGACCGACCAACGTAAGCTACGGAAAACGTATAATAACACATAATTTAACTTAAATATAATATAATATTAACATTTCGCAAAATTTGATAGCATACGTCAAATGTCAATCGGGTTTAAAATAAAAAACAATAACATGCATCTTGAAACGTATTTGTCCTCGATATCAAGATAGTGAAAAACAGAATCCGTACCGAAAAAAATGAAAATGTTGCATGCTCAGATCGATTGAGCCTGTTCATTGACGGTACTTGAAAGTACAAGCTACCATCAACGCCCCTAGTACCGGCTTTAGCAGAATTCAACATTAAAACACGGTAATGGTTAATTTTGAATTAAGAAACATCCGAAGATGTGTTCAAACAGTGAATCTTTAGTGTGACACTTTTGTGTCATTCCATAAAAGCGGTGTAAGCTCCCTTAGTAAAAGAAGCGTGTGCCCTAAATGGGAAAATAATGGGCTGAACTTAATAAAATGGAATTTTGAAAAGGGGTCACAGGTTATGAAAACCATCGAATCTATCATATATATATATGGGTTTTTAACGTAACTTCCTGTGTCTGTGACCACTTCTCTTCCTTACTTTGTAACTTTGTTAAAGCACAACTCATATTCTACAATTTTTAACTTATATTTGCATGCTAGTTCGAACCAACAAAAACATGAAACATAAAGAAAACCATTGCCTATGTTTGGTAAAAGAAAGTAGTATGAACTGTACCGCTATTAAGTTACAACTCGGGCATGACAGGTTTTAAGAGAGTTTTTTTTATCTACATCTGCAATGACTTTATTTATAGAGTAAATACGTAAAGAGGTTTCCCTTTTTCGTGATATTTATGCGAGAAAATAGAGCAAATTTCAATGTTACTCAAATCGCGAAGACTTTGTTATCCTTTACTTATATAATGTCTAACAATGATACGTGACGTCTCCCGGGATATTCCTATGGGGATTCGTTAACAATATAATATCAACATTTACATGTCTTGACCAAATAATAAGAAATCTAGAGAGAAGAAAGCCATCATTGAGATGAATAATTGACAGCTTACAAGATTTCAGACCTGAAGACAAAGGATGATTTCTATAATTATAAGGCGATAGCCACAATAACTAAGGTTTCACATATTTGCACCTGATGATGTCCTAAAGTGGACCGTTAAGATGAAGACATAACCAATTTCTTTTGACTTAGTTTATTATCATAAGAATGATTTAGAATAACACAATGTTTGAATGATACTCAATTTTATCATATGTAGATGCTTGTAACTTTGTAGTTGTATTGTTTTACACGTGTACTTTATTTTTTTAAACCGATTCCATAGTGTTTTTTCTTTTGTTATTTGATGTATTACATGTAGTTATATCGAAAAATATGTTGTATAATTTATGCTAACTTATCACTCATTTTTTGAAGCTGATTCTAAGATAAAACTTGATAGATCATGTAAAGTATAATTTAGAGAATCCTGCAGCTGTTGGTTCATTGACAACAAGTTACCTTCATCTATATTATGATATACCTTTGCATCAATATCATCAACTGGCATGGGGAAGGAACATTTCTTCATTGAAATACTTATATATCTTTTTATTACAACCTAGTTTAGTTTGTTACAAAGTAAAGAGAAAAACGAACTCCATTATAGGACGCTCAAAACGAAATAAATGAAAATGTTGTAGACTCGTATTGACTGAGCCTGTTCATCGACGGTACTTGAAAATGCAAGATACCGTCCACGCCCCCTAGCACAGGTTTTAGCAGAATTTAACATTTAAACATTGTTACATAGTTACATTGTTACAAGTTATTAACATGTATTTCATGCATACTATAATGGGATCAAAACTTATATAAACTTGCTCCAGTTTACATATAAAGTCGAAATATATAGGTGAGATAAGAACTGAGTAAACAGTGTATTTTCCATGTATCAACATATGGTGCCATTTTTGGAACTGACCTGTTAGAAATGTCTTGTTTATGTTATATAATATAAAAGTGACATGCAATATTTAAATGCCGAAAATAATGTCCGGAAAAAGTTGCCAAACAATTCAATAATGTCATTAATTGTTACAACTACTTTATAGTTTACATGTAATTAATTTAATATTCACTTACAGAAAGATTTGTTGAAACCTGTAGTTTCTGAATCAGTTATATGTAAATAGGCACAACAATTTGTGGAAAATAAATAATGCGGTTTAATAATTAAGTTTTCGTCGCTTTTTAAATATAGTTTTTCCCATCAATCAAAATAAACAAAATTAGACAAAAGCTAGCACCAGATTAAAGTAACTATTTTGTACATCTTGAAACCGTACATAGGATTTTATTTATTGTATGTCAGGTATTTATATTATGTTACTTGGTAAATTGTGTTTACAATTCACGCTACATTCTCGTCATTTAATACAATAAGTAGAACGCGATGTTTAAACATAAGTGACAGATGTATTTTTTTAATCTTTTGGTAAATGATAAATGAATCAGCATTAAAAGAATGTAACGTATATGACAGGAATACAATGATCTAAACCAATTGATTTAAAAGAATAAAGTTGGTGTTTACATCGTCAAGATGTATAGAGACTTATATAAGATCAATCAACAGTCAAAACTTAAAAATCAATAATTTATAAAGCATGATGTTTGAATATAATAAAAATCATTGTAAAATAAAAAAATTGCCAGAGATTATGGATATA